GATGGGTACTTCTGATACCCAATTATCCAGGAGTGAGTTACTAATGTCTTCGGACAAAGCACTTCGTGTAATTATATATAACTTCACTTGAGGCAAGTTCGTTTAATTATTAATTTTATTTCGTGCTTCGTCCTCGAGGTTAGTAACTGGAACTTATTAACCGCAGGTAAGATATTAAAAGCGAGAATAGGGAATATCAAAAAACAGGTGTTTTTTGTATTTAAGATAACGAATAATAATACATGCTTGGTACATTTGTACTATATCTACATTTATAATATTTTTTTAAATACTAATAATGCTATTAAACATTACAAATATTCCCTTTAACCACTTCTGGTAAGCTTAAAATGCTTGTATTAGAAGTGGTTCACGACAGTAGTCGAATGGTGGATTCGAACCCACGATTTGTCGAGTTCGCGGTCCGCGCCCTGTCATTAGGCTACTGACGCTTCTAAATAATATCTTACAGCTTTAGTGTATAACATAATACATTTTACACAGGTAAAACTTATCCAAAATTTATCTCGTTTACCCTGGAGATCATTTGAGTTATACTTTTAATAAAAATTATTAATTTTAGTAAGAAAAACAATCTATGATAATTGTGTGTTACGTTTCGTAATTATTAAATTACATTTTCTAGATGTTTTAAGAGTGATTTCCTCGATTAAGCACGACATTTGTAAATGATAACTATAATCATAGTTGCTTAACGATATTCCTATAATAGAATCTTCCAAAGGTTTTGGAGGTACTACTGCATCCCGCCATCTTACGAATCATGTCTACGCTCATCACGGATGTGTTAGCGCGCGACGTGGTGGCGTGTCGCGTACTATGTGCCGTCAATATGGAAACCCGAACCTTTTAATGTATCTTTAATCCAACGGCTTAAAGCTTGCGTAGAGGCTGCCCGGTGTGGTTTCTTAAATGTGAACAATAAGGCATTCTGTTGACGAATCTGGGAGGTTTTTTTTTTTCATATTATGTATTTAATGTTTGGGCTGAACATATTGCCTGTTTTTCAAGGAAAAACAAGAAAGGAAAGAGTTATCGATAAGCGCAGTAAAAATTGCCATCAAATCTTTTGCGATCATTCTTAGGCTAAAAAATGTTGCTAGGAGCTCTAGATAATTATATGCTTAACACGTTCTTCCTAAGACCACTTTCCACTAGCTGTTTCAGAACCACAGGCGGCTCCTCAGCACGCAGCTGAGGCATCAGAGAATATTTCGCTGTGATAATTGTCGTCTCTGATCTTGCGGGTAGAATTATTTAATGCCCGCAACCACCATTTAAAGTCATCCTGAAGGGCATGACGAATTGTCATCTATTTTAAATATTCTTCATAACCTCTTAAGTTAAGATTGCTCTAATTCTTTTATGTAAACCATTCCATACTCTAACCGAGGACATGCTGAAACTAATAACCCAGTGAGCTCTGTGAATGCTTTTATTTTACACCTCTTAGTTTTTTATAAACTTTAAAAGTGAAGATTTAATTTTAGCTCTTTTTTAATATTTGGTAAACTAATGTGTAATTTATTAGAATCAATAACGAACCCAAGAAACTTACGAGACATTGACGGTATTATTCCTTTTTTTTTTTAAATTGAAGCCAAGCGTTTAATGTAACGATAATATATTCCTAAAGCTCATCGTAATTACCACCTACTAGATAGCAGTCATCTAAATATATGGTGGACATGTAACCCGCTGTCCTTAGTAACTTAGTTACGGGTTTAATTATTTTAGTAAAAACGTATGGTGCCATCGCCAAGCTAAATGGTAAAACGTTGAACTCGTAAAGATCGTCATAATAAAACCGAAGGTATTTTCATGTATGTATCAATTTTATTAGAAAATAAGCGTATTTAATATCTATTGGGGCAATGTAACATTTTTGTGTCACTAATTTAACTGCCGTTCTCAAGCCTTCTAGTTTAAAATGGCTAGTCTCTATATTATGTTTATTTAACTTTTTAAAGATAAGAATGAAGCGCATTTTTCCATTTGTCTTGAGTGTCAAAAACACACTTGACAAAAATTGTTGGGGGTGTTCTTTGCATTTGATATTGCTCCAATATGTAACAAATTATTTATTGTTTCACCAGACTGCGGTCGTTCTGCATTAGAGAAGGACTGCAGGTTTGGCTGTTATTCCTGATGTGGAATACTAAGGAACTTAAGGCAATTGCCTTTAATCCATAACAGTATGATGCGGTTATTTGTAATAACAGACCATTGTTGTATGAACAATATCAATTGCCCTGCGTACCTTACCTTATCTATTACCAGTACGTCTGCTGCGGCAGATACCGCGACGGTATCGATGAGGCTCAGGGCGGTACACCAGCCCTCGTTGGAGGCAGCGGCAGCAGTGTGAGTGCGACTTGGCGTCCTCTCTAAGGCCCCGACGGCAACCAACGGCTCGTCGGAGCAGGCTTCCAGTTTAATGAACTCGGTGTTTGTCGTAGTTATTTCCTGTTCCTCTGCACTGTTTCATATTGTGTTAAACATTTCTTAACTCTGAACTCGACTACAAAACTCTTTGGCTGATTTCAATGTGTCTGCAAGATTTTCATCGCAAAGATATATATATATATATATATATATATATATATATATATATATAATTGTAGCGGGTGCCTCAGAATGGCTAATTGGTTGTCCCCTACTGTGCGATTTGCCAGTAGTTTTCTTCCTCACGTGACTTCTTTTTGAAATTGTTTTCCGGACAGATACGGCTTAGGAACCTTCAGGAAACGAGCTTACTCTTACGCTTGCAAATCCCTTGGAGTTGCGGAAGTTCATGGGCGACGGTCGACACTTGCCATCAGGTGAGCCGTATGCTAGTTTGCCCACATTACAAAAAAAAAAAGATATGGACGTCCTAAAAACCGTGTGTTTGACTATCTACCTATATGCTGGAACTGGATAGGAAAGTTACTACCAAGTAATTCTATAATCAAACAGCCGTTACTCAGTATGATACATAATTTAATAAAAGTTAAATAAATGGTATAAGTCTACATAATGATCAAACCATAACGCGCTTTTAAATCAATGAGCGACATCTAGTACCACATTAACTAAACCATTTTGAAACAAACAAGTCGCTGAGTGACATCTAGTCTAGTGACAAATGAACTAAAGTAAATCGAACAAACATGCCGCCCACCAAGGACTTCTCAAGTCCTTAACAACGAGAGCTACATATCTTAAATCCACTCACGAATCAGAAACAAATTAATCACAACAACAATAATATAAAAGAACTTAACAATCTTAACAGCTAACAACTTAAGCTACAATGCAATTAAATAAATAATTAACAATAAATTGTTTAATCTAAGCAATAGCCACATCTCTATCTAAGGTTTATAACAAATGTACAAGTATATAAGAAACTTTATAACAAACTTGTAAGCAACTACAAAGCACTACGCTCAATGCTACGCTACTATTACACATATATTTAGAATACAAAAAAAAAACATTTCATCTAAAACTACATATCTAAATTATCACTACTCAGGAGCTATAGGCAAAATACATAATTTTGACACTGGTCTCTTAATTTTTCCATTCTTACATCTCAGAGTAACTACTCTAGTTATATGGTCTGGACCAGGGTGCTTCTCTTCAACTATACCTAATAACCATTTGGATGGAGGGAGATCATCTTCCTTAACTAAAACAACATCTCCACACTTAGGTTCCTGCGTGACTTTATTCCACTTATATCTTTGACATAACGTGGTCAAATATTCTTGCGACCATTTTCGCCAGAAGTGCTGCACAAGCTTCTGTGTGAACTGCCATCTGCGTAAACTACCAACATTGTTGTCTTCAAAATTGTAATCTGGTGCAGTAACTAAAGCTTCACCAACCAGAAAGTGACCGGGTGTCAGGGGCATGGGATCACTATGACTAGAAGGGATCTGATACAAAGGCCTAGAATTCAAGCATGCTTCGATTTGAGTCAGAACCGTCGAAAGTTCTTCGTATGTGAGTGTCGTTCCGTCTAGTACACGACGCAAGTGAAACTTTATTGACTTCACCCCAGCTTCCCACAAACCTCCAAAATTTGGAGAGTGAGGAGGGATGAAGGACCACTTAGTACCCTTGTTTGCCAACCACTCTGCGATTTCATCAGCAATATTAGAATTTTCAGCTTGAATTAGCCTTTGCAGCTCCCTTGATGCTCCAACAAAATTTGTGCCATTATCGCTGAACACCTCTAGACAGTGACCACGACGCGCAACAAAACGCTTGAAAGCTGAAAGAAAACTTTCTGTCGTCATGTCACTTACGGCTTCTAAATGAATGGCTCGCGTTGCCAGACAGATAAATAGTGCAATGTAACCTTTATAGTATCGACAACCTCTGCCCTTGGAAATCCTAACATTAATAGGGCCAGCATAATCAATACCACAGCGGGAAAATGGACGACTTACTGTTACCCTAGCCTTGGGTAAGTCTCCCATAAAAGGCTGCTGGGAAGCAGTTCGTTGATACTTAATACATTTTCCACATTTTCTAACGTAATCTTTAATTAGGTTCTTTACCTTTAGAATCCAATACTTAGATTTAACATAATTCAGCATTAATGTAAGCCCCCCATGGAGAGTTTTCTCATGTGCTTCTGCTACAATCAAACGTGATAGATAATGATTATAAGGTAAAATGATTGGATGTTTGACATCATACTCTTCATTGCTGTTCTGAATGCGTCCCCGAACTCGTAATATGTCGTCTGCGTCTAGAAAGGGACATAATGAGCGTAATTTACTTCCTCTAGATACATCCGTTAACTTCCTTAGACGACTGATCTCATCCGAAAATGCCGATTGTTGACAATGTCTCAAGCAGAGCTTCGTTGATTCGTGTAACTCGTCTACTGTAAGATAGTTTGGAAAGATATTTGCTTTGTGTCTGAGCTTGTTTAAAGGTCTTCGGCACCAAGCAACAACTCGTACTAATTTATTCAATGATTAATATTTATTCCAAACGGTAATATCTGTTGGTAATCTTGGGCTATCCTCAATAACAGTGTGAATTTTAATAGACCTCTCTTCCAGATTGGTTTGTGGAACAACCATTTGTGATTGTGGGTATTGAAGGTCACGCAACCAATTAGGACCATAGCGCCACAAATCATGCTTGATGAAATCACTAGGACTTAATCCACGAGACGCACAGTCGGCTGGATTCTGGGCTGATTCCACATGAGACCATTGCTCATTGTCTAGTACTGTAAGAATCTTTGTCACTCTATTGGCGACAAAGGTCTTCCAGCGGCTTGGTTCACCCTTTAACCATGCCAGAACGATAGTAGAATCAGTCCACGCTCGGATTTGTGATCTCGATAAACCCATCACTAAAGCGATTTCAGACAGCAAGCCTGCAAGCAACTCTGCTCCGGACAACTCCAATCTTGGAGTAGAAATTTGTTTCAGTGGAGCAACTTTCGTTCTTGCTGCACATAAACTGACATGTATGCCACCCAGCGAGTCAACGATTCTTAAGTATACAACTGCTGCATACGCGTCATTGGATGCATCACAAAACCCATGTATGGACACATCAACCACACTTTCACTCATGTGAGTCCAGCGTGATATAATGACGTGATTGAGAACAGGTAAATCTTGTCTAAAGGTAATCCATTCTTGTAGTAAATTTCCTGTTATCTCTTCATCCCACGAAACACCGGCAAGCCAAAGTTTCTGCATGTAGATCTTAGCTCTGATGATAACTGGCGCAGTCCAACCAAGAGGGTCGAAGAGTCGAGCAATGTCTGATAAGATAGTTCTCTTCGTCACTCTCTGCTTCTGTTCTGGTAAATTTACCTTGTACCTAAAGGCATCCAAAGTAACATCCCAACATAACCCAAGAATCTTTACAATGTCATCTAGCTTGGTATTCAATTTCTTTTCCTTTCCTTTATCCTGAACCATCTCCATCAGCTTACTGCTATTGGAGGCCCACTTCTGTAAACCGAAACCACCTTTAGCCAGTAATTCCGACACTTGCTTGTAAATCTCCACAGCTTGCGACTCATTTTCACATCCTGACATAAAGTCATCCATGTAAAAGTCATTTAGAACTCTACATGCTGCCAGCTCATAATTCTGGCCTTCATCCTTAGCCACCTGTTGGAGGCTCTTCACCGCTAAATATGGTGCCGAAGAAACACCAAATGTGACTCTTGTCATCATAAATACTTTAACCTCTTTGTTCTGGCTCGGTCTCCATAGAAGACGTTGATATTTACTGGCGTCTTTCTCGTCCACCCTTACCTGCCGATACATCTGTTTGATGTCAGCAACAAAGCACACAGGATGTGCACGCCATCTTAATAAAATATGACGTAACTCAGGCTGTAACCTCGGTCCGACCAACAAGTCATCATTTAGAGACCTGCCGTTTTTTCCTTTGCAGGAGGCGTCAAAAACTATTCGGACCTTGGTCGTCGTTTTATCCTCACGTACCACGGCATGATGGGGCAAATAAACACAATCTGTTTGAGCCAACTCTTTTGAGTAAACAACCCTCATATGACCCTGATTTATATAATCACTCATTGCCTTTGAGTATTCTTCCTTTAAGAGTGGATTTTTATTCAACCTATTCTCTAGAAGATTGAATCTTCGCATCGCAATGTCTCTTAAAGCCCCATATTGGCATTGAGGATCTTCTTCCCTAAATGGAAGTCGAACAATATACCGACCATCTGGAGTTCTAGTTGTAGTGGTATCATATAAACTCTCACATCTTTTATCTTCTTCAGAAAGAATTTTTTGAGGCTGTTCATTCTCTATCTCCCAAAAGCTCCGAATCAATTGATTCAACGAATCATCTATATGCAAACTTATGATGTTGCTGGGATATTCTTCCTCCAACTGTACTCGACCTGAAAGGATCCACCCAAGCTCCGTATTCTGTGCTGTTAATGCACCAGATGGATTCTTAACCAATCCGTTTGTCAAAATCTGCGCATAAACTTCAGCACCGAGTAAAATATCAATCTTATTAGGTGTACCGAATCCTGGATCAGCTAGCCTTAATTTTGATAGTTCTGACCAGTTGTGAATGTCAACTCTTCTTACTGGTAGATTTGACGACGGTTGGTTCAACACATAAGCTCGCACTTCGCACTCAAATTTCGCGCAAATAGTGGACTGTATTTTAAACTGTACCGCGTGTTTAATAGAATGTGATATCTCTCCACCCAAGCCTGTAACAACTCCTTTCACTGAAGATTTACGAAGGCCCAACAATTGGGCACAATGCTCCGTAATGAATGAAGTTTGGGATCCCTGGTCCAATAAAGCTCTTAGCAAATAACACTTATTCTTACTACTAAATACTCTAACAACAGCTGTTGCTAAGATTACACGACCAGGAACATAACAATGATTTGAAATCACTTGCCCTACATCTGCCGACGGCTGTTCAATCTTCTTATCCTGGTGGGTTTCCGTTGGATTAGAAACTATATTAAGCGGCGAACCCACACCTCCTTCTGGATGTAACAAAGAATGGTGACGTCGGCCACATCGATTACATTTTGTGCTCCTTTTACAACGATATACAGGATGACTATCTCCAAAACAATTGAAACATAATCTATGTTTCCGGACAAATTCGTAACGATTTCCGTAACTTTCCTTACAAAACTTCTTACATTGGTGTAATAAGTGACTCTCTGAACAAAACTGACAAGTAACAGTGGTGACCTTGAATACTTTATGTTTCTCTACTCTTTCCTTTGACTTAGTATCATTTTTATTAGGTTCTAAGAATTCCAACGCTCTAAATCTGGACTCTAAAAACTTCTGAAATTCGCTGTAGCTTGGAAACTCATCTGTATACTCGCTTATTCTCTGCTCCCACTGCTTTCTCGTTTCCGGGTTTAATTTCAGTGCTATAAGATGTATAACTATAATATCCCATTTCAAAACATCGATTCCTAGGTTACTAAGTGCGTTCAAACAGTCATTTGTTGTATCTAGAATCTGCTTAATACCACTTGCGGATTCTAACGTGAGTGACCTTTGACCCATCAGTCTCGTAAGAATGCGGTTAGCAATGTACCTTTTATTACTGTATCTCTTCTTCAGTTGAAGCCAACATGTTTCATAATTTGCATCAGTGATGGGAATGTGTCTTAAAAGCTGTTCCGCCTCACCCGTCAGATGACCTTTTAAATAATGTAGCTTCTGCACATCGGCTAAGGACGAATTATTATGTATTAATGATTCAAATAAATCATGAAAGGTTTGCCACTCCATATATTGACCTGAAAAGGAAGGAAAAACAATTTTGGGTAACCTCATAGCAGGCGGTTCCGCCTCCATAGTAACATTTGAACTTGTACTTTGGGTGACGGCTAATAAATCTGTTAATGCTTCTTTAAGTTCTACTTTATAAGCCACATAACTTTCTTCTACACTGTCATATACATTTTGTTTTATACACAATGTTTCCTTTTTATCAGTATCAGCTTCACTTATAATATTATAATGGTTAGTCTCAAACTGTGACCATTGTTTTTCCAGTTGTTCTAATCTAGTTTCAACGTATGGTTTTGTTATACGAGCTTTAGGCGATTTCCTAAAGTTAGAATATCCACTACTAATCTTTTGTTTAAGATCAGCTTGCACCTTAATTAACCCTTCCATCTTGTAGATTAAAGTTCGTAGCAATCACTAAAGTTCGATGTAAGTGAGCACAATTTAAAATTTTATGTTGTTGAATAAAGTTCAAATTTTTCTAAGTCAATATAGTGAGATCACAAAATTTTTACAAGTCTTTTAGTACACTTTACTGTCCACTCAAACCGGCATGGATTCCCCGTGTCAACGGACTTAGCGAAATTATTCTAAGTTAATGAAGCTACGTTAAATTTTTACAAGTGTAAGGAATCGATGCAATATTACAAAGTTAAATTGTCCGGAGTAATAAAGTTCATAATACTCACTATAACAGTTCCTTTGTACTTACGCTCCTTTGCTCATTCACACTACACTGCACTGCACTACACCACTCTTAATATATTTGGTTCGAAGGACCAATGTTTGACTGTCTACCTATATGCTGGAACTGGATAGGAAAGTTACTACCAAGTAATTCTATAATCAAACACCCGTTACTCAGTATGATACATAATTTAATAAAAGTTAAATAAATGGTATAAGTCTACATAATGATCAAACCATAACGCGCTTTTAAATCAATGAGCGACATCTAGTACCACATTAACTAAACCATTTTGAAACAAACAAGTCGCTGAGTGACATCTAGTCTAGTGACAAATGAACTAAAGTAAATCGAACAAACACCGTGTTTTTTAAAATATACTTTTCTAAATTATCACATGTTTATTTTCAAACAGCTGACACTGTTCCGAAAACATTAAATCAATTGTCAACATGCTTCGTGGTTTCAGTGTAGGTGGCGCGCGGCCAAACGATCATTTTAAATTCACGTGCGATTGACAGGCGCATTGTAAAACGATCTTAGCTAAAAATTTTCAAATTTATGTAACACTTATTTTTTATGTAGTAAACTCTGTACATATAAATAAAATTGATATGTTTTTCTGTAATATCTAAATAGCTGCCTTTTATTGAACCGAAGAGGGTGCCAATAAAACATTAGTAACCATTATTTAAAAAAATATTATTCGTCTGTCTGTTTGTGCGAGTCGGAATGGCTGAATCAGTTGTATTAAAACTTCACGAATAGATAAAGAGCAATGAGTTACCTAGGCTATAGTTCATTCAAAAATACTTAGGAGTTTTTTTTTTTTTGAGAAATAGAAATCTTGGTGATTTTCTTAAATTTAAATAACTCCAGGTGAAGCCGGGGCGGATTTCAAGTAAATAAATATAACGACTTAATGACGTATAGTATTATGTCTTCCGATATAAAGTTTCACCTACATTACGAGTTAATACTTCACATTTATTTGTTAAAAGTTATTAGTGAAATAAATCATTTAAATAATTTTACCTAACTTATTATTATTATTTTTTATATATTGTTTACTACTGTTGCTCTTGTAGGTGGAGAAGCCATGCTCCAACTCATTACCTAGTTATTGCAGCAGGCGACATCTGCATCCATCAGCTACCTGCATCCTTCAACAGGTAAGAAATAAATGAACGAAATGAATAAAATAAATTTACGAAATAAAGCTTACTCATCATCATAATCATCATAACAGCTCTTCACAAGTCCACTGCTGAACATTGGCCTTCCCCAAGAAATGCCATCAAGCACGGTTCTGGGTCACCTGCATCCATTGATTTTCTGCATGTCTTACCAGGTCGTCCATCTAGTGGAAGAACGCCCTACACTTCGTCCACCAGTACGAGGCCGCCAATCGAGAACCTTTTTATCCACCGGGCTTTGGGTTATGTCGGTTACTCTGGTTCTACAGCGGATATCCTCATTTCTAAATTTATCACGCAGTGAAACTCCGAGCATAGCCCTCTCTATAGCTCACTGAGCGACCTTGAGCTTCCTCATCCGGCCAGCAGTGAAGGACCACGTCTCAGTTCCATTGCTCATCAATGACAACACGCAGTGGTTGTACAATTTGGTTTTCAAGTTTTGAGGTATACGTGACGAGAAGATGTGTCGTAATTTCCCGAACGCTGCCCAGCCGAGTTGAATCCGTTGATTGACCTCTCGGTCGAATTTAGACTTACCTAATCGGACTATTTGTCCCAGGTAAACATACTCATCAACAATTTCGAGCTTAGTGCTACCAACAACTATCAGCATAGGAGTGACATCGACATTACACATGATCTTTGTTTTGTCCATGTTCATCTTAAGACACATCCGTTGGGAGGCACTATTGAGGTCATTGAGCATAGTGCCTAGGTCCTCCTGCGATTCTGCCATAATGACTGTATCGTCGGAAAATCGAAGGTGAGTGATGTACTCGCCATTGATATTAATACCGTATTCTTTCCAGTCCAGTAGCTTGAAAACGTCTTCCGATGCAGCAGTGAAGAGTTTCGGGGATATAACGTCACCCTGTCTTACACCTCTCTGCAGTTGGATAGATTTCGTACTCTGGTTCTGTACTCGGATAGCCATCGTAGCCCTACTGTACAAACACTTCAGCACTTTGTTATACCGACAGTCAACTTGGCACCGCTTAAAGGACTGCAGCACCGCCCATACTTCGACAGAATCAAAGGCTTTCTCATAGTTCGTATACGCCAGACATAGTGGCAAATTGTACTCCTTATAAACGTATTTTACAATAATTTATACAAGTTATTACGCCAAATATGTGATAATACTAGTAATAAAATTATTTTATGCGTAGATTTTAATATAAATATACCAAAACGAAACCAGGAAGCTCTAGATTTTAAATATATTCTGGAAAAACACAGTTTAAAACTAGAAATTAAAGAGTCTACTAAGCTTAGCAGTAACACATGTCTTGATAGCTTTGCTCACAGTATTCATAAATGCAGCAGTGAGATTATTGAATTTGGGTTGTTAGATCACACAGCTCAACTGTTACTACGCTCAGTCAAAAAAAAAAAACATGCGTGATGAAGTCTTGGCGTATTAGAAGAGGCAATTATTGTAAGAAAAATCTCACAAATTTCAAAAATTGTGTGGACAACTTAAGGTTTTCTGACATTTATCACACAAATGATCCTAACAAAGCTAATAATTGTTTTCTACACCTCTTTCTTTGTTTATATAATCTATGTTTTTCATACAAAAAATGACCAAAACATTACATAAAAAGTCTAAATGGATGTCAAATGGTATCAAAATTTGTTGTTAAATAGAAAGAAAATTACTATGGCAGTATAGGACTCGTCCCACAAGAACAAATAAATACTTTACAACTTTAAGCAGTACTCCTCTTAGATTAAAAAAAATATATTACTAACGCAAAATTCGCAAAATAACGACTACAAAAGTACATCACAAAATAAATCAAAAGCAACATGGTCAGTTCTAAACAAGTCCAATTTAACTTTCCCAAAGAGCCTATTGCTGAAATATTGAGCGATGACATCAAAATTGGAGATCCTATATATATATAGAGAATCACTTCAATGACTTCTTTATTGACCAAATAACAGAATCGGAGCATAAAAATAATTCAAAAAATAACAACTTAATACACTCAAATCTTAAAATCAATACTAACGTAAATTGAGTTTTTCTAATACCTACAACGCCTATGGAGATAGATAGAACAACTGATAAATACTCAAAATGTGAGCGGCGATGAAGTTTGCACCAAAGTTAAGTTCCATTAGGTATCAATCTTTTGAAAATTACTTGAAAAATTATATTTATATATAATTTTAAATATATATATAAATAGTCGAGAATATACAGTTATTTGGAAAATTTTAATATTTTAGTAAGCGAACAAAAAGGGATTTGCGAAGTTAAATCTATAAATATATTTGGTTGTGACTTAATTAAAACTATTCTAATCATTATGGACAAAAGGAATCCGATATGTGCTGATTTTATGGATAAGAGCAAAGCTTTTGAACGTGTTGACCATAAGATACTGATTCCAAAACTAAGTATGTACGGCATAAGAGGTAAAGCGCTAGCTTCATATGTGTATAATAGAATACAAATAACACAAATTACAAAAATATGCCAGAAAACACGAAATGAAATCAAATATAGATCTAACACTAGAACCATAAGGTAAGGAGTCCCACAAGGTAGTGTGCTATGTCCCCTACTATTTCTGGTGTACATAAATGATCTTCTTAGACATGTAAGACAGCCAATGGTGCTCTTTGCAGATGATTTCACAGTAATGATAAAATTCGATAAGCAAGATAATTACGAACATGAAGTCAATCAAACACTAAATAAAACAATGATATGTTTAATAAAAAACAATTTTAAAATAATATGGAAAAAACAAAATAATATATTTTTACCAAAGAACACAACCCAAAACTATAAATGTTAGTACATATATTACAGTGTACATATTCTAATTTTCTGTAACAACTTTTATACCTATATTATGCAAATAAATGAATTTGATTTGATTTAATTTGGACTTCTGTACAATTTGCCGAAGGGTATGTATATCGAAAAGGCTTTAACACCATATACCAGGTGCTAAAACCTTTTCGAAATCCGGTTTGTTTGGGAGGCTGGATGTCATCGAGTCTGCATGCGAGTCCATTAGTAATGACTCTCGAAAAGAGCACGTAGACGCGGCTCAGAAGGGAAATCGGTCTGTAGTTCTTAAAGAGAGCGTTGTCGCCTTTCTTGAAGAACAAGACCACCGCACTTCTGCTCCACGCCTCCGGTGAAATGTCACCATGGAGGACGGAATTAAAGAAATTCTGAAGGAGGAGGAAGGTATTCCACCCTCTTTTAGAAGCTCCGCAATAAATCCATCCTTGTCTGGGGTCTTGCCGCTTTCAAGGTGCTGGAGAGCCATTCTAATCTCGCTCAGACTGACGTCCGGAATATCATCGGAATTGTAGCGGATACGACTTGCTCTTGGATTGTTACTCACAATTGCGTGTGCCTTCAATGACAATGTGTACAGCTGCCCATAGAACCTCTCAATTTCACTCAAAATCTCAGGTGTTCCGGAAATGGCGCTGCCACACTCAGTCGTCAGCTTCTAAAGTTTCCTCTTTCT